CCTCCATCAGATTGGCCTATGGGCAAGTCTGCAGGGCCTTTTCTTGATTGATGATTGGTGAGGGAGGGCCCAACTCACTGTGGGTGATGCCACCCGTGGGCAGGTAGGTAGTCTTGAGGTGTGTAAGAAAACAAAGAGAGCAAGCCATGGGGAACAAGCCAGTTATCAGTCCTCTGGATGGCCTCTGCATCAGTTCCTGCCTTCAGGTTCCTGTTTTGAGTTCTTTCCCTGACTTCTTTCAGCCGTGGACTACAACTAACCTGACCTAATCCTTCCCTCCCCAGGTTGCTTTGGGTCGGCGTTTTACCACAGCACTAAAAACCTAACCAAGACAAGGACAGTAGCACATGAACTCAATATGCCATTTGAAATGACCTCATCAGTTTCCTACTAGATGCTCCCACTCACTCCCACCTTTGGCACACGCGCCTTAGCATCCCCAAACCCCAGGGGTAGTGAGGGCATGATCAGGAAACAGCAGATTCCACGACAAACGCAGCAGGGAATCAGGTCCTGTTCGTGCAAGGAAAGAAAAACATGGGACGGGTCGTCTGGAAAATGTCAGTGTCTCCCAGAAAGACGGGCACCCCTATTTTATGACCACACTGTTCTCATTCTGCCTTAGCAAGATAAAGGAGAGAGTGACAGCAGTATTCTCTGCCACCAGTGACACAGGCTAGTGGGAGGGAAGAGGAGCACAGGGCAGGGATGGGAAGATCGGGAGGAATGAGTGGTTGGATGAAGAAGAAAGGCTGCGCTAGCCTTGGCTACTTATTACAAGCCTTGTGGTACAGCCAGCTTAAAAAAGGCTGCAGGACCCAGAGCTTAGTAAGATCCAATAGCATCTTTAATTTTCCATTAACAAACCCTTTCTTAAGATGGAGTCAATGTCTAAAGATGTCCGCTGCAGAGGCCTGCCTCCTTAGGGGAAGGGATGCTCCTTACCTCAATGATGTAGAGGACCACATTCTTGTAGAAACAGTAGAGGATGCACTTGGTCACCCGGTTGTAGCTCCAGGCTCCATGAACCAAAAGCAGCTTCTCCAAGTAGGAAAACTGAAAAGGGACAGTGACAAAGTTCAGAGCAGCCTGTCATTGAGGAGTGAAAGGCATGGACTGTCTTTATGAGCAGAAAACAGACAGAGAAGGGGAGGGAACCAGACCCTTAGGAAACCAACAAAACAAACAAATGAAAACAAAACCAAAACCTGTTCCCCTGAGGTGGTGCTCTCAGGGCAGCTGAGAAGGAAAACTCTCTTCAAGTGACTAATTGTTGTTGTTGTCCCCAAACAAGCTGCTGGGCTCCCACTATGACTGCTGTGGAACTCTTTGAGCTAAATGCCTTCCAGTCTTAATTAGGCAAAGAAGGTGACTATCCGGACTGTAAGAAAAGCACACTGGGACAGGACACCTCCATCAGATCCGGTCACACGTTTTATGGTGGACCACTGGAGGAAGGGGCAGAGACGCTTACCCAATAAAGGTTTGATTCAAGAAAGGAATGCACATGAGTACAGTGGTCTGTCAGTGAAACAGCTAAAAGCTATTATACTTCCAGTACCCTACAGAGGCACCTAGACAGACTTACCCACAGGCACATAGATATGGAGATATACAGACATACAAATGCAACACACACACACACACACACACACACACACACACACACACACACACACACAGCCTCCACTTCTACATCCATGGCGTAGTCCTTCTTTATCTCCCACTCAGAGTACCCGGTTGTGCAATCAGGGACAGCTGACGAGCTCTGGGTAGGAGTGATTTAAGGGCTCTTGTAGTCTGAGACAAAGCCACAGTATTCCAATAGCACATACCCTAAATCAACTGTCTCCCCAGAGTCATTCAAGACGGACAAAGGCAGGGAGATGGAATGTTCTCTGGCAGACTGGGAGCCAAGGTCTGTGGACACACACCATACCCCACAGTCCCTTTGCCTAGCTTAAGTGGCCAGCAGTGGCCAGTCACCTGTCCAGCAGCTGCTGTGTGTGCAAGCATACGGCCGACAGCAAGGGCATGGAACCAGGGCTCTGCCCACCACAGGACTTTCTTAGCATCTTTTCTTTACCTTATGGGGCGCTTCCTTCAAAACACAATTTAAAAAAATGCAGCCACCCATATCAAAAATCATAAAGAACATGGTGTTAACTTCATCCAGACATGGTCATCACTTCGATGGGGCAGAGGAACTCACCCAACTGGGGGTGTTTCTGGCATGGGAATTAAGGAAGAGGCAGTTTAGAATCTAGTGCTTGGCACAGACTCAGCCCTGAGATGCCAGTGTGCCTCTGAAGTACAATGAACTGGAAAATCCAGGCATGGGTATCAGTGGCTGCCCTGGGTTCCTTTGGTAGGAGTGGCTACTACCCTGGAGGGCAGAGAAAACCCCCAAATGACTTAGAAGGATTTATCCCACCCCTCTCGGATGCTTCCTTTTAATAAAAGTGGTTGCTTCACCTTCCACATCCTATCCGTGTGCAGTTTCAGTAAGGAATCCCTGCTCCCTAGACATTCTAAAGAGAAAAGCAGACAAATATTTGCCTATAACTCCTAGGAAACCTCTTAAGTTCCCTTCCAGCCGTATGATGTTATAACTCAAGTATTTAATAATGCTGGGGTGTATAACATCCACAGTTGCTGACAGCAGACAGGAAGCGCGGGTCCCACGGGCCTCTGCACAGTTGACTCGGCAAAGTAATGGAGCAGGTGTGTGTGGCAGCCCCCAAGTTCACGGGGCTCTGCTGTTCTCTGATGTTGGGCCTGTACTCATCCCTGAGGCCAGTCGTTGGGTGCATAGGACCTTTAGATTTCTCACATGGAAAATCAGAATTCCTACTGCCTACGCCAGAGATCAGCTCAGGGATTCAAAGTCCACAAAGAAACAAAACTGACTTATTCAATTTCCAAAGCCACATGGTCTGGGTAATGTCTTGCTACATTTGCAGAACCTCAAACCAGAAGGAAGCGTGAGAGGTGATCAAACAGAGCTTCCTTCACAGATGGGGAGTCCCCAAAGTAGCAGAGGACCAGACCACAAGCTCTGGGTCTTATAAAAAGGGTGTTTTCTATGCATCTCCTGATTTTAGCTGAAAAGGTATCAACACCTCTGTTCCTTGTAATCATGTAGCTAGGGTTAACATGTTCTTCAAAAGCCTATTTAAGGAATCAGGGGGTGGGGGCTGGTGCCACAGCAAATATAGGTATTTAGCCACAGGACCCTACGACTGGGTATCTGGGAGAACATGCCAGTATTCCCTGGGACTACACTTCTAGATGATCTACCAGGCCAGATAGCCCAGATATTCCCTAGAAGGGTCCTGAGGCTGACTCTTCTGGCTATCATGAAGAGTCAGAATTTCTTGGATTCTTGGAGCACATGTGAGGTACCCAGGAAACACATCAGAGCCAATAACCACAAAGCACATCAGAACCATGCTGGCGACACACAGTTTAGAGAAGAATGGACCGAACTGGGCCTGACTGCAGGAGGCTGCTTGCTACTCTCCATGAGTCACCTGGCCCCTGGCCTCTCAGGTCACCCTCAGAGCAGGAGTCCTAGCGGGTTCCCAGCCATGATTGCCAAGAGGGGATATCTCCAAGTAACTGCTTTGTTCTGGCTTTAACCACTTGCCCAGAGCATGGCAGCACTTCTGGAAGAAAGGAGGTCCTTGAGTGAGAGTCTAGCAGAGAATGGTACTCTGAGAACAGCTGTTCTTCAGTGAGGGGTGCATGTGTACACACACACACACACACACACACACACACACATACACACCAGAAGGAATGGGAGTAGAGAGGTCAAGAGCCTAGGGACCTGTCTACCAGAAAAGGTACATCTTTGAAATGACAGGTCCATGGGCCAGTCCCACCTCTGGCCCAAGGAAACCCAATCCAGAGAAGGGGCCTCAAATTGTTCAAGACTCCAACAACAGAGGCATCAGTTAATCTAGACGGTGACCTGCCAAGGTGGGCAGAGTCCTTGGCTGAGCTCTGGGCTGTCTCCTCTGCCCAGCTGCCATCACTGTGAAAAGGGAGGCTGACCTGGGCAATGGCATAATCTGAGTTGTTGGTGGCCTGCATGCCCTCGTTCCCGCTGATTCCGACCCCCACGTGGGCCGTCTGGATCATCCCCACGTCATTGGCACCGTCCCCGATGGCCAGAGTGATGGCTTTCACCCGCTTCTTCACAACATCCACGATCTCAGACTTCTGCAGAGGGGACACTCTGTGAGAGAAGAGAGAAGAGGGAGGAGTTAGGGCAGCAGGCACCCTTCCTGAGGGGACAGCGGCAGCACACCTGCTGCATTCAGAGGCAGTGACCAGACAACCTCCAGATCCAGTGCATACATTTTATGCTCACGTGTGAAGAAGTTTTGTGAAAACGGGAGTCTGTGGCTTTCCAGTGTTTGCATGGATGCAACCTTATCTCTAAAGCAGCCTAAACACAGCCGGTTTGCCATCCACTGCTGAGTGGAGTGAGAGGCAAATAAACCTGGGGCTATGGGCACTGCCCAAGACCAAACATAGGCAATCTAGCTACCAGGGCCTTTGAAAATGTCTTCCCAATAAACCAGAACACTGGAAGAGCCTCCCCCGCCCCCCACTCCTGTGCTGTGTTATAAATCCTGCCCAGTGCTGGGGCTGGCAAGGGAAAGTTCCAGAGAATTCACAGAAAGGAAAGAAAACAGGCAGGGTAGAAGAAAGAACGGGCAGGAAGAAACCAGAGCAACAGGAAAGAAGAGTCCATCTCTACCCAGAGATGATGATGCGTTTGCCCGGTAGCCAGGGCAGGAGGCTGAGTCTGCACATTCCCAGGCCTCTGAGGTCGTCTGCTACTGGAGGGGCAGGAACACAGCCCAGAATGGGAAGTAGCCCTTGCCTGGGAGGACGGAAGGGGCCCAGATGTCAAGATCCCGCCACACTCTGGGAAGTGACCTATAACCTAAGGACTCAGTGGGCGGTAACGTAGGTGAATGAGCTCTTCCACCACAGTGCAAGCCAGGGTGGTTCACCCGCATAGAAAGTGCCACTAGCACCTCCGGGCTGGGTTCTTTTTAATCCCAAGTTGGTAAACTGACATTTGACTTGGGAATTTACAAGGAAGTCCCTGAGTCCCCTCCAGAGAGGGGAGTAGTGGCTGTGCTCACACGTGGGCTGTGTGTAAACTAGAGCGATGCTCAGAGACCTGCTCTTTTTTTTCTTTTAAATAATTTATCTTTATGTGTATTGGTGTTTTGTCTGAATGTATCTCTGTGTGATGGTGCTAGATCTTGGAGTTATAAACAGTTGTGAGCCTCCATGTGGGCACTGGGAATTGAACTTGAGTCCTCTGGAAGAGCAGTCAGTGCTCCTAACCGCTGAGCCATCTCTCCAGCCCCAGGACCTGCTTCTTAAGTACTGTGCCAGCTGGCATGGCCCCCATGCTCAAGGACACCCTGGGCAGACCTGGGGCTGCAGCTTCCTGGGTCTATATGTCACTCAACTGAGAGTGAGTTGGCTGATAGGTAGTGTAGAAAGAAAAGTTATCACTTGGAGGTTGGTCATTTCACACTGAAGGAGGGGCTACAAGAACTGTGGACATGGATTAAGGAAGGAGATAGAGCAAGGGTGTTGTTTGAGCTAAAAGTTGTTGGTTTTCTATTGGGTGTTACAGTTTTGTTCTTAAGGTGTCCTACAGAGAGAGGCCCACACATTAAAGGCTTAGTCCCCAGGTATTGGGAGTGGTGGAGCCTTTAAAAGATGGGATTGTGGCTGGAGAGATTGCTCAGTGGTTAAAAGCACTGAGGTTGATACCCAGCACCTACACTGTGGCTCACAACTGTCTGTAAGTCCAGTTCTAGAAGCTCTGATACCTGCTCTGACTTCTGCAAGCACCAGGCACATATGTGGAACATAGACATACATTCAGACAAAACACCCATACACATAAAATAAATTAGTCTTAAAGAATTTTTTAATTAAAAAAGATGGAGCCTAGTGGGAGGTGTCTCAGTCATCAAGAGTGTGCCTTCGAGCAGACAGTGGGACCAAGTCCCTCCTCTGTATCTTCTCCACTCCCTAGCCTTGAGGGGGATGTCTTTGGTCTGCCATGTACTCCCTGCCATGGTGTTCTGCTTCACCAGGGGCCCCAGACAACAAGGATGATCAATGATGGAGTGAGACCCCCCCAAACCAAACCAAAACAGAAAGACCCCTGACATCCCAAACAACTTTCCTTCTAGTAACAGAAAGCAGGCTAAAGTGGCCAACAGGAGCGAGTTGCAAGTCACCAGGCTTGTTCAGTTCGGCTCTGGAACTTGGCTCTGAATTCATTCAGCCAAGCCTATTGCAATGGCTGACAGTACACTGCACGAATATCCGTCAACTGTCTCTTTCCAACTAGCAAAAGCAAGGGATATATAAAGCAAGTGTTACCTTGGCACTGTAGGAGCATGAAATTCTCATCAAGGATTTATTACGCCCTTACACTGTAAGGCCTTGAGAAAAGAGAAGTCTAGCACATGCTCAGCGTTCAAAACAGATGTCAAACAGCCAATTTCTACAGAGTCGACCGGGCACCATTACGTTTTAGCCATGTGGAGCCCCTGAGGATGCCAAGTTGCCACATAGCAGAAAGCAGCTCTTTCCTAGTCTTAATTTGTGACCTGGAATCATGCACCATACTTAATAAGCATTCCCAGCATATAATGTGTTCACCCCATAAAATAAAGCTCCAGACCACATCTGAGCTGAGCAAGGTGCTTGGCACACTCCTGTAACCAATTCTGGTGCGTTATGAATAAAAACATAAACCCTAAAAGTCCCATCAGCTGAAGTAGTCTACATATATACAGAACATAATAGATTTGCAAATGAAGAATGCCCTCTTGAGACTTAAAAAAAAATAAAAAAAGGCTCAGTAACCCAAAGTGTCTCGTTTCTATGTCCTGACATTTTAAAGCTAGTTTTCTCAAGTTACTTCGAACATAATGCTTAAGTAACACCAAGGGTGGATGCTTCCACAGCATTGACATCATACATTAATTTACCTGAGCTATAAAAGCTCTGGTCATAGTGAGTTTCTCATTCGATCTTTCAGGGTATTATAAGTGAACCTAGCAAATCCTTTTCCTGCTCAGTCACCTTTCAGAGGGGGCTGGGCCTAGATTATGGATTGGTGTACAGAACTCCTATGAGCTGGAGGGGTTGAAAAGGACTCCTTCCAGAAACATCCAAGAGAATGCCAGGCAGATCATCAATACCAACCAACTAACCAGATTCACTGAATACTTTCACTAGTTGATCCCAAATGATGAATTAGATACCAACTACAAGAAGTTTGCAGACACTGTGCCAAATCAGTGAATCTCAAGCATTAGACAAGGACCAAAGTCATCTATAGACCCTCATTCAGAAAACCAGAGAAGGGCCTGTGTTGTGGTCTAAAGGAGAAATGTCCCCCACAGGCTCATGTAGTCAAGCACTCGGTCCCTGGTTGGTGGCACTGCTTGTGAGGGCTGACAACCTTTAGGAAGTATGTCACTTGGGCGAGCCTTTGAGTTTTATAGCCTGTGGCCCTACTTCCTGTTCTCTTCTGCTTCCTGTGTGTCTTTGAAATGTGATCAGTATGATTCCTGACCGCTGGGCTAGCTTCACATATCTGCTGCCATGCCTTCCCGGCATTAAGGGCTCCATCCCTTCTGGAAATGTGAGCCAAATAAATCCTTTCTTTCTTAAGTCGCTTAAGGCGGGTCAGGACTCTGCTTCAGCAACAGAGATGTAACAAACAGCCTGTGATGGGAATTTCTAACCAGCTTCTACGTAACGCTGAAGTGGTTTGTGTCAGTGATTATCAAAGTTCTTCCTAGTTCACATGTTACCTAGCCACACTTAAATGATACCATAGGAGCATGGAAAAGGTCAGATGATGATGATGATGGTGATGATGATGATACCTTTGCAATACCACTGAATCTCATTCCCTTTTCTTAAACCTTACAGAGTCTTCTTCAATTTAGCCTCAGTTTAGGCTGGTATCCTATAAATGTAAGTACTTCACATGAAATGGTAGTGTTGGAATGCCAGAACGAGACAGATAAAATTGCACTTCCTCTTTCCTTTGGAATGGTGTAGACTATACCAAGCCTAAAACACAGAAGTACTGAGCAACTTACTGCCAATGTATCAGAAAATTTCACTTGGAAAAGTGTTCACTTTCATGTGAAAGAAACTATACTACAATGGGGATTTTTCTTTGATTAGACAATCCATTGAAATAAAAGACTATGACATGTTTCTTATAGAGGCCATTTATCTTCCAGAGTTACAGTACCTTTCAAGATTTATTAATTTTTACTTAATGTGATTGTGTGTATTGTCTGCATGGATGTAAATGTATCACATGTATGCAGTGCCCAGAGAGGTCAGAAGAGGACATTAGATTCCCTCGGTTACAAACAATCGTGAACTGCCATGAGAGTGCTGGGAACTGATCCTGGGTCCTTGGCAAGAGCTCTCAATCACGGAGCCATCTCTCCAGTCCCGTGTAGTACCTTTGAGTGTCTCTTATTTCGGCTGGTGAGATGGTCCAGTGGGTAAAGGCGCTTGCAGCCTTGCCCAACGACCTGAGTTTGATCTCTGGGTCCTACATAGTAGAAGAAGAGACCTAACTCCCTCAAGCTGCCCTGGGATCTCCACATATACACTGTGGCATGCTTGTGACCACACAAGTATACACACATCCACACAACAATTTATATAATTTAAAGGTCTCTTATTTTAAGCATTTACATGCATACCTAATTTGTAGGCATAAAACTTAAAAGTTACGGAACTATTCCACATACATGGCTGTTAGGCATTTCCCTGCCTGCCCACTCTTTTGGACCACTGTATTGCTTCTTTTGATGCATTTGGTACAATTCTATGGGAGACTTGGGGCCAGATGTCCAGGCTATCCATGCAGCCTCCCCTGTCTAGAACAGCCTATAAATCTGTATTTTACCTAAAAGGTTCAGCTTTCTCAAAATGTAAGCTCCCGCCCTAGTTTGCAGTGCATCTCATGGTGGTCTCAACGTCTAAAAGCAGATAATATTGACAGTAGAGAATGGTCCCTAGGGCACAGTGGGAAATGTAGGAGTTTGGGCATAGGATGGATAGGACGGAGGTGGATCCAGAGAGCCTGAGGACTGGGTTATTTGGAGGTG